CTATGTTTCTCTGTAGCTCTGTGGCTCTATAGACAACTCTCCTTTCCATAAAGGCTTTGATGTCCATGTGCCTGAAGCTGTAGTAGGGATTTCAGCCAAGTAAGATGTAGAACTGCTGTCCAGCCCTGTCTTGTAACTTAGCTGCTGAAGTTTGGGACTCCTGAACAGAAAGTCCTCTACACTCTCTTTCTTCAGCCTTCATAAAATCACCCCAATTACTCTGTCTTCTTTTGGTCTTGGTTTTTGCTTCAACATTGGTAATTACTGTCAAGTCCTGCAAGGCTGACTTGAAGGCATCTGGCTTACAACCAAGCTATTAAAGCATCTGAGGAGCCTGTATCAAATCAGAAAATAGTAATGGTCTTTGGTTTAGTTGTAACATGAAACAAATTAAAATGATGCTTATTTTTGATATTTTTATGCTGCTTAAAAATTATTTATATACAGAAATTTTTCTAGCTAACCAAATTTATTGTGATCATGTCTACTTTTTTTTTTTTGGTTTTTCGAGACAGGGTTTCTCTGTGGCTTTGGAGCCTGTCCTGGAACTAACTCTGTAGACCAGGCTGGTCTCGAACTCACAGAGATCCGCCTGCCTCTGCCTCCCAAGTGCTGGGATTAAAGGCGTGAATCACCATCGCCCGGCTTCTACTTTTTTTTTTTTTAAACAAAGCTTCCCTCCCAAGACTCCTTTTCCCCAGTTAAATAGAAAATACCTTAGATAGACCCAGGAGTACCAAGATAAGTGTGTCTCAAAAGACTTATTCATAATAATAAAACATTTTTCTGAACTCAGTTGGTTCCCCTTGACTTTATTTCCTCAAGTTTGTGGCCTTTATTGTTTGTTGCTTAATACTGATCAAAATCTAGTTTCTGATATTGTTGCCCAATGGTATCCCTTGGGCTTGGCATTTCAGTAACTTTCCAACTCACCTTATGGTTCCTGATGCTTCACTTAGGAATGTTTCAAAGAAGCTAATCTTGGACTGATGTGATATTTCAGTGGCTAAAGGTACTTGCTGCTCTTGCAGAGGACCTGGGTTCAGTTTTCAGCACCAGCATGGTACATACAACCATTTGTATGTCAAGGTCTATGGTATGTGACCCCATCATCTGACTTCCGAGGGTAACAGACATGCTCCAAGTGCCCATACATACATGAAGGAAAAACACATAAAATAAAATTAAGAACATTGAACCAGAAAGAAGCTAAGCTTGGCAGAGTGTCTTGATGGCACCCATGCATCTCGCAGTCCAAGGCAATGTCCCATATAATGACCAGAACTTAGAGATAAAGGAGAAGGTGCAATGAGATGACCCCTCCTAATGCGTTTCTCAGGGAAGTGTAAACAAACACTTTCTTTGTCCTGGATGAATGGATCAGAGTGTGGCTGGAAAGGTGGGTTGTTGGTAACTAGCCAAAGGGAAGAGAGGTTATGGTTCAGTGGACTTTGTTCATCTCTGCTGGGATAAGAGAGAGGCTATTTTGATGGTTGTTTCAGGGTACTGCTTTATAATCTTATTCTATCCATTCTAAAAACCATGAAATATCACCTGCTTGCTCTTCCATGAAAGAAAGTATTAGCCAGTGTTGTCTGTTTTGTGACATTCGAGCTAGGAGCTGTCAAAACCAATCTGTCCGTCTAATTGATTCTGGCTTGTTTCCAAAATGTGAAATTTAGTCTTTTTCTGTCTTTAGCTATTAAACCTCTTTCAGTCAAATCTTAATTTTCACAGGTCATGGTAGATCACAAATGGTGTAATTCCATAGCACAAATATTTACAAGCTGAGAGTAACTGTGAGCCTATGAAGACCCTTGGCTTGGTACCTTGCCTAGCCCAGGAAATGAAGCAAAATTAAGCTACATTCTCCATCAAGGGAAGTGGGGTGGGAACATGCCAGAACTGGTTTTCTTTGTTTAAAGTTTTCTTACTTGACAATAGAAATGTGTGTGTGTGTGTGTGTGTGTGTGTGCAACTGCTTGTGCTGCTTATAGTTTCTTGCTTCAGTTAACATGCCCTTCTTTTTTAATTAGTTAATTAATTAATTAATTAATTAAAGATTTCTGTCTCTTCCCCACCACCGCCTCCCCTTTTCCTCCCCCTCCCCCAATCAAATCCCCCTCCCTCGTCAGCCCAAAGAGCAATCAGGGTTCCCTGCCCTGTGGGAAGTCCAAGGACCACCCACCTTTATCCAGGTCTAGTAAGGTGAGCATCCAAACTTCCTAGGCTCCCACAAAACCAATAGGTGCAGTAGGATCAAAAACCCATTGCCATTGTTCTTGGGGTCTCAGTAGTCCTTATTGTCCGCTATTTTCAGTGAGACCAGTTTTAACCCAGGCTTTTTCAGACCCAGGCCAGCTGGCCTTGGTGAGTTCCCGATAGAACATCCCCATTGTCTCAGTGTGTGGGTGCACCCCTCGTGGTCCTGAGTTTCTTGCTCGTGCCTCTCCTTGTGCTCCTGATTTGGACCTTGAGATTTCAGTCCGGTGCTCCAATGTGAGTCTCTGTCTCTGTCTCTGTCTCTGTCTCTGTCTCTGTCTCTGTCTCCTTTCATCGCCTGATGAAGTTTAATATTCAGGAGGATGCCTATATGTTTTTCTTTGGGTTCTCCTTCTTATTTAGCTTCTCTAAGAACCAGAATTATAGGCTCAATGTCCTTTATTTATGGCTAGAAACCAAATATGAGTGAGTACATCCCATGTTCCTCTTTTTGGGTCTGGCTTACCTCACTCAGGATGGTGTTTTCTACTTCCATCCATTTGCCTGCAAACTTCAAGAAGTCCTTGTTTTTTACTGCTGAGTAGTACTCTAATATGTATATATTCCATACTTTCTTCATCCATTCTTCATTTGAAGGACATCTAGGTTGTTTCCAGGTTCTGGATTAACATGCCCTTCTTACTCCTTTCTCTATTATATCTGTGATGGTGCCTCTCTTTTCATTAGGGAGGCCTGAGTCAGGTGGAAAAGTCTTTCACAGGCTGCTATCAGTCAGAGTGCACATGCATGTGTGCGGATGTGCATGGATGTGTGCAAATTTGTGTGTAGGCACGTAAATGTTATGTGTTTGCACATACATGTTTTCTCCTTTGTGTAGAGGGGTGTTAGAGTCAGGTGAACTTAGGATTACCTGGCTTTTTCTCTCAGGCCTGTTGCAGAACTCAGGTTTGCCATAATATGGTATGGTATATCTTTACCAATTTTCCATTTGATTCGATTGAGAAAAGCCCAGGAAATTAGCAAAGCTCAGCTTTACGGCAGCAGTCTAGAGACATTTAGTGTTAGTTTCAAAATGGGACCCCAAGATAGCAGTGCTGGTAATTAATGTTCTTAACTAAAGGACTTGGACCAGGTTTAAAAAAAAAAAGACTGCTCTTGTGTAAATAAAACCCTAAACTCAACATTCCTGAAGAATCTAGCATTTCAGGTATCTGTTTACCAGAAAGATCACTATTTACATACCTCAGTGGTCTAGTTCCTGATCAACAGCAGATCAGAACCTCCCCACTAAATCCTATCTATTTTGCCTGCATCTCTCCTTTTCCTGTTGTCTGTCCTATTAAAACCAACAAGGCTTTCTCTGCTGGCCACTGTTCTCTGAGAGATAGCCTGAAAGTTTGATTTTCCAAATAATCTGACGTGGGAGTGATTTCTTATTAATAAAGAAACTGCCTAGGCCCCTTGATAGGCCAACCCTTAGGTGGGTGGAGTAAACAGAACAGAATGCTGGGAGAAAGAAGCTGAGTCGAGGAGTCGCCATGATTCTCCCACTCCAGACAGACACAGGTTAAGATCTTCTCTGGTAAGCCACCTCGTGGGCTATACAGATTATTAGAAATGGGTTAGATTAATATGAAAGAGCTAGCCAGTAAGAGGCTACAGATAATAGGCCAGGCAGTGTTTAAAAGAATACAGTTTCCGTGTAATTATTTTGGGCATAAGCTAGCCATGCGGGCGGCCGGGTGCCGGGGACACAGCCCTGCCGCTCCTATCACTACAATAATCTTTGCTTTGTAGCTACCAAATGTTCCACTTTGGTGGTTCCATTGCAACCTTGCTTCACTTGGTGCTGAAACCCAGAAGAGACAATTGAACCACCAAAAGCATGTTTCCTCCTGGCTGAACCAAACTGCCAATTTGGCCCCCTAGAAACAGATCATTTGCCTATACTGGCTTCCTCCACCTGCCATATTTGGCTCCAAATTTAGATCATATATATTCCTCTGTTTCTCTCTACCTGCTCAGCCAGTTGTCTCTTCTCACCTGAGCATCTTCTTGGAGCTACCTGTTGTGTCTCGGTCAGAATGTGGCCCCTCTGTGGATACCTCCTCATCCTCATCCTCTGAGGGGACCACCCTAGCCATCTCCACCCCCTTACCCCAACTCAGCCTCACGCATGCTTTCTTATCTCCTCTAGCCACTCATACCCACAACCATACAGATTGCCTTTAAACCCTCAGGTAGGTCCTAGTGATATAATCAACGCACATTTGCCTTTCTCTATGGCTGATCTCTCTGAGGTGGACAAATGTCTCTGTTCTTTCAAAAGTGTCCCCTCTCACTTCACCTAGAATTCAGTACCTCACCAAGGCCTATCACCCAACCCTGCATGACCTCTATGTTATTCTCTATGTTTCTTACAACTGAGGAAAAGGAGAGGGTCTGGGTGGCCACAAAAGCCCATGCAAATGATGCCAACCTCAGAGATGGCTCCTAGCCTGGGGGGCTGAGGAAATTTCTTGTGTAATTACCAGGTTAACACTGAAAATTAGTCCCCTAGCAGGGTGGCCTGAGATAAAATGGTAACTTGTCTCCTGGTTGGACTCCAAAAGACCTTCCAGAAGGTGGTAAATTTTGACAAATTGAGGGGGGGTCACCCAGAGTCCAGATAGAAATACTTCCAAGTTCCTCATCCACTGGTCACTGGGTGAATAACTTCCTAACTGTGGACTGAAGGGTCAATTGCTCTGTTTGTCTATCCATCCATGGTAGGTCAGTCCTTCGAGCTCCTGCTCTATACAAAAACCTTTTAGATCTTCTGGGCTTGATGGCTGAAGACTGATGCTGCCCCAGGACCTCAGTTCCCATTCAAAACCATCAACTACCATGGAGGAGCATGGAGTAAGTTCCCAGGTACTGGGTGAGTTTCTGTTATTTTAAATAGATTAGAGGCAACTTGGTCTACATTTCTTGCTTACTCTGGTAAATCTTATCCTTCTCAAATCTCAGGCATGATTGCTAATGGCAAATTCCACCAGCTTAGAGCTACATGTCTTCCTCTCTGTCACCTCTGAATGACAGAGGTGACATATTGACTACTCCTTCCTCATTATGTATAGTTGCCAAACTCTGTTACTGGTCAGGGATATTTTGGCTGAATTAACTCCTTGGTTTAGCTTTCTTTACATAGAATGTGCATGTGTTTTCCTACTTTATATCAAGTAAATAATTATGCAAGCTCTGTGGAAGGGACCCTAGGGGCATTGGACTGAGCACCTTTCGGTGTTTCATCTGGCCAAGGTTAAAAGCATACTTTCAGCTTAGCAAGTTTTGGCTTCATAGTAACTTTGGGTGCAAAAAATGGGCATGTTGCTTCCAGATGATATAAATTAGAGAGGCTTAAAGAATACTTTAAATTACCTGAGTGTCTGAAGTAAAAAAAAAAAAATCTTCAAAACTGAAGCTCAATTACCTGTCAGCCTAAATTGGCTTCAAGTATAAAACTCCAGCCTTGCTTTTTTTCTAGAACTAACAGGCTTCCTCCTGAGATAGGCAAACTCATAAAATGGTTTCCATGAAAAAAACAACCTCAAAACTACCATGAGGTTGTTACTGACCTAAAATTTTCTTTTTATTGTTCTTTGATGCTTCCATGATGGTTTTTAAAAGACTCATTTTTCAACGACTGCTTTCACTGGTCCAACACCTATGTCTTATGACAAATGATGAGATATTTCTAGAATAGAAAAGAAGGTAGAAGATTCAGGCAAGTTGTGAGGGTCTCAGGAAGTGGATTAAGGTATGTGAAAATGAGACTTCAAGATGATAATATATTAAAATTTCAAAGTTCAAAACTTACCACAGCAATGCTAGACATTTAAATCAATAGAGTTTTCACAAGTAACTAACCTACTTTTGGCAACAGTTGTGAGCATCAGCCACTAAAACTTTAAAAAGAATTAAAATTATTGTAGCCACAGGCTCAAAATTTAAATTTCCTTTGGTTGTTTTAACTTGTTCGTGTTTACGTTGATACTCTTTTAGGTTTTATTTTTGTTATGACTCAAAGGCATGAGTCTGAGCTATCTGCAGACTGTTATTAACTGCTTTCTCTACAATAAGGATTTCATTGCAGATTAAAGTAGACAGTGGCCCTCCTGATACAACTAAACATTTTATTGCTTTTTGTCAAATTGAAAAAGTTCGTGTGAGCTCCAGAGGATTACAACCTGGATCTATCTTTCATAGCTGGATGAAGTTTCTTGTCTGGTAAGTACTCCTATCTGTCAACGGGATAGCTAAAATGTAAGCTCTTCCACCTGCTGCCCATCCCTGATGGCAGGCTCCTTCCTCCCCTTGGTCTTGGGCCTGCTTTTCACTGTCCCAACCACCAAGACCACCCAACAGGCTTGAACGTTTCAAATATGCACCCAAGATAAAGATCCTTAATGTCCCATCAGACGTCCACCCTGCAGTCCAGGCTGTGTGAGATTTCACTTAGCCCGGCCTTCTGGAAGATTGTTATTAGTGACTTCCCGAGTCTTCTCCACACCTAATGTAGAAATTGTGGGTTCCTTAATGTAACCCCATGTTTTCTTTGCACTTCCCTGCAACCATCACCAGAGGGTATCCCTCTTAACCACGTAACTCTAAACTCCACTCTGTAACCCCAAAACCATTTCTGGTACCTTCTTACTCTTTAGAATCACCAGGTAACTGGCTCTTCAACAACCGTTCCCAGTCAGCCATGCCTTTCCTGGTCACGAATGAGATCAGTTTGACTGACTCAGTATGGGTTTGACCGAGGGTGGATTGAGTCAGTTTCCATCTATCTCAATGGACTTGACTTGTCCCTGAAACCTCTACAAGACCAGCTCACCTCTGAAGTCTTGGTGTTCCCATAGAACTGGCAAACCCTGGACTTGCTAATGACTACAAAGGGGAGCACTTGCCTCTTCCTCAATGAAGAATGTTGTTACTATGAACCAGTCCTGCCAAGTGGAAGTGGGGATTAAAAACTTGCATGGACTGGTTTACAAACTACTGTCTCCACTGTGATATTTTTGCTATGGTTGTCTCTGGGGCCCTGGCTCCTACCCCTCCTCAGCTCACTATGTTCTATCCTCCTCAGAATAGTGATTTCTCCTAATCTCTTCAGATTCCTTCAGAAGATAACTAGTGATGCAATCTCATGCTCAGCAACCAGACACTTCTAACAAAATTTCCTCAGCCTCTCCTACCATTGCCTGCATATTTGAGCCTCTGCTTTCGACCAGCATTCTGTACATCCCCCCTTTAAGTCCCTGTTCAGCAGAAAGTAGACAGAGGACTACCATCAACAAAAGACTAAAATGTTAGGTTCAAAGTGGCCCACACATCGCAGGCTGAGACTCAGTGCTCTTTTTTCCCTGAGAGGTCAGACCCTGACTAGCTTCCTAGATCAAGCGATGTGTTGTGAAATCATGGTGAGTCTTCACGTTAGAAGAGGCCATGGCAGCTCATCACTAATATTTCTTATGGGAAAGCTGAATTTGATAAGGATATTATAAGGATAGTCACTATGTCTCAATGATAGCCAATGTCTAGCACTCCTTGCTGGAGTGAGTTCCATTTGAAGCTTGGGTTTAACTCGAGGCGCCCATCAGAAGAGGATACATGACAATCTGTGGACACAGTCCATTGAAAGGAAGCTGAAGACTTTGGTGTATGGCTTAGCAAGCACCACTGAAAATAGGATATATGCTGTGTTGGGGCAAGAAAATAGACAGGGGACCTCTAAGCCGACTTTAGAGACCCAATGTAACCTGAGTATTTGGTAAACAGTTTAGAACTGCTTCTCATTAGAGTAGACTACTTTGGAGGAGTGAGCCTGTGTCCAAACAGAGTCTGGCCTGGGGGATTGATAAGAGTGTTTTTTAGTGTGTGTGGTGCTAAGGATCAAACCCATGACCTTGTACATGGGAGGGGAAGTGTTCTCCCACTGAGCTATATCCCCATCCCAGAAAGAGAGAAAATTTAAATGTCAGGTAAACTAAGAGCTTGAGATGATGCAGGTCTCAATACATACAGCAATGGGTTACTGCTCAAAAAATAAAAACAAAAAACAAACAAAAAAATTCAAATATCACCTTAGATACAAAGGAGAACAGTCTTAATGAGGAAACAAATGAGAATAGTTTCCCAGAGTTTGGAGATTTATGTTTCTGAGATATTGCTGGGAAATTCACTATGGCTCTCTTTTCTCCTTCAACTGAAGGGGCAATGCTGACACTTCTCTGTGCCCCATTTCCCTCTCTTCAACAGAGGGATACTGTTTGTTCAACTTCATTACAAAGATGGGTGGGAAGAAGTATTTAGCCTCTTACAGGCTCGGGTGGATACAGAACACATATGGTTATAAAACGTTATGTTGTTGTTAAGAAAATCACAAATAAAATAGCACTAATTCAGTTACAAAAAGATCCAGTTCTTTTGATGGAAACAAAAGACTGTGCTATTTTCTTTTTATTATGAACACTGTGTGAGTAATCTATGTTCATTATGAGAAACACAGTTCAGATAAGTGATAAGAGAAAAATTCATTTACAATCCAGCAGACCATTAGTAACTTCAGTGCAAATTCCTCCTGTTTCCTCTGTCACATGGGTATATATGTATGTGTTATATGTCTGTGTTTCCCCTCCTACATGCACACACAGAGACCTTCACACATACAGGGAGAGGGAGAGAGAGGGGGGGATGAGAGAGGGAGAGGGGGAGGAGGAGCTCATCCTCCTGCTAGCTCTACCTTCTGAATCTCCCTGTTGACCTAGATAGAAATAGATTGTGGAAATCTTTTTGTTCTACTAAAGTCCTGTTTCTAAGCAGCTGAATTAACATTCCACTGTGCCAAGGCACCATAATGTATTTAAACAATTTCTATTGCTGAGACTTAAAAATGATGCTTCCCTCTTATTACTTGCATATGTTGATTTTATGAACTAATGGGTTTATTGTGACATTTTCTTATACGGCTTTAAGATTTGTTTGCAGCTACTCACTCTCCATCCCCATGTCTCACTCTGGCCAACAGACTCCTTTCCTCCCTGATGGGGCTTAGAACACCTTAATCACCCTGTAGAATAAGGCAACATATTTCCTAGCTCCTCTGATCACTTTTAGGAAGCATTCCTAGAAGCAGGGTTGTGGGCCAAAGCATATGCACATTTTGTGGTGTTTGAGAAGGAGGCAGGCAGCTTCAGAAGGCTCTGCAGGTGCTGCTCATTGCAGTGTTCTTGAAGAGACCGCTTTTCCCACAGCCCTGCCAACAATAAGCATTTTTCTTCACTTAGAACTCTGCCAGCTTGAGATGTTAAAATGGTATTTTGTATCTGTTCCATTTCTTGCTTGGTGGTGCGCTTACAGGCTTTTTCCCTCTCCATATGTTTCTTAGCCATTTGCATTTTGCTTATTATATGTTGTTGTTGAAGCGATCCAGGGGTGCAGGAGTGGGTCTGTTTCCTCTGCCAACTAAAGAATTAATATGCAGGAAAGAAAGCATTGTTGGAGGTCTTGGAGAGTCCCAGGAGAGCCATCCCAGAATACCTGGGAAGTCAAGGTCCCCTCTTAGGGTCCTTGGTTTCATTAATAAGACTTTAAGAACAGCCATGAGCAGAAACTCAAGGACAGTTTATTAGAGTTTAAAAGGAAAATCCCAAGTTAGGCAAGCTGTAAAGCTTGCAGCCTCCTGGAAGGAAGGGAGAATGGCCAGCAGCTTGAGATACGTGAACGTCAGCCCCCCTCCCCGCTGGCAGCAGGCATTCACAAGGCAGAAAGAGGAGCAGAGCAAAGAAGCCCAAAGTAGTTAGGAAGCTTAAAAGTCCTGGCCAGCATTAGAAAACAACAGGCAGAAAAGAAGAAAACAACTGCGCACTGCGCATGCTCTCTGCCTCTCTGTGTCTGGCCTCAGAAAGGCGGCAGAGCCAGCTCCGCTGCAAGGCTGAGTTCAAGGACTTCACTTGAGCAGCAGTTCTGGACAGGAAACACACATCATCTGCAGGTGAAGCCTTCTTCCTGGGCGTGGCTACTTAGCCAGGCCCCTGACCTGCCCACTGCGTTGACATTAATGGAGGAAATAAGGGTGTGCCATCATTGTGAATGTGGGTTCCACATTCTTTGTTCATTTTTTTCTGATACTTTTCTTTGAAGTATTTTTTTTTCTAAGTAAATATATTCAGGAGCAGTTTCTCTAGCTTGGCTAGGATATGAAGGTTCAGGTTTTCTTAGCATTGGTGTTATCTTATGCACCTCTCCTTGCTGAGAACAGGTGAGCCATCCTCATGCGCCCAATACCAAGCAGTGACATTCGCCAGCTCCTTCCACCTCTTTCTTTGCCACTTCCTTCCTCCTTTTTAGAAATGTGAATCTACCCTCTTTGTCTTTAGATAATCTTGAGCACCTAGTTTGGGGCTAAGAATACATATTCATGTAACTTAACACACCGGCAAAGCCCCAGAGTCTCCAGGGGACACTGTCATTAGGCATGTCGGTGGAGAGGTATAAAGCCAGTGCCAAGTCTCAGGAGGCAGAGGTAGAGGGATCTTTGTTAGTTCAAGGCCACCCTGGGCTACATGAGATTGAATCTGTCTAAAAGAGAAACAGCCCTCAAACTAAGGAGATCCCAGCACCCGGCATTCCACACCTTTAATCCAGCGCTAGGGAGGAGGAAACAGGAGCGATATGGTGTGGGGAGAGAGGAATATAAGGTGGGAAGAGAAAGGAGTGCATTGCAGTCTGAGGTTTGGTGGAGACAGATGGAGTCCGGAGAAGCAGTCTGAGGATAGGATTGCCCAGTCTCAGCACTGGTACTGTCTAGTGACTGGCTTTCTGCTTCTCTGATCCCCAGCATTAACCTGTAGGCAGAGACTGCTCGTTTGTTCCCTGGCCACCCAGACCTGAATAATCACTTAAGCACAACACTGTTTGGCCAATGACTCTAGTCCTTCAGCAGCTACATGGCATATTCTCCAACTATGCCCACTCTCTCTGTTCTGATTTCCTGCCTGGCTTTACTCTGCTAAGCCATTGGCCCAAATGGCTTTATTCATCAACCAATAAAAACAACACATATACAGAAGGACATCCCACATCATTAACCCCTATATCTGACTTTGGATTTTTATTATTAAGACCAACTAGAATTCACGATACATCCAGGAGCCATCAGCTCCTGGAAGGCTTCTAGGACTCCAGCACGTATGATATGGGCACAGATGTTAAACCTAGAGAACCTATATTTTGATACCGGCACAGGATCAATAAGCACTGTTCACAATGCAGACACTTTAAACAAGATTTCACAACAAATTATAAAAGACAAGGCAGTTCTAATAGGGATTTCTCTGACTCCACCAGGAATTCTAAAAGCTTCCTTTGGTCAGGTACGTCAGGCTCTAGTGTTCCCCTGACCCGCAGAGCTTGTCCGTTTCTGCTTCTGCTCGTGTTCCCACGTTGGGCTCTTCTTTTCCCTTTGGTTCCTATATGATCTTACCTCACCTGCTTGCCAAGTAACTCTCCATTCTTTCTGAAACTGGAATCATTAAGGATGCTTGTTTGCTGATTGCCTTGGTTATTAGTAACTACTATTTCATGTTCCTGAAGCTGACAGTCTCTCTGAAAACACTGTCTGGCAGCCTGTGCTCCAATGCCACTGCTTCATCCGTGCCACACTGCGCCAGTGGGGAGAGTGTTTTTTGTTTCTATTGTTTTTGTACTTTTTTTTTCTTTATAGAGCATCTTCTTCAGTCTGAGGTCTGGGGCTAAAGATATTCAGTGACTGAAAGTCACTGAAAGGCCACTCACTGTTGTGAGCCACAAGCATTATACAGTAAAAGTATAGCTGGCAGATCCCTAGACAAACTCATGGGAGTGTATTCCACTCAGTGAGGAACCCAATTTGCAGACAGGAATGCCTGCCTTTTGGATAGTCACTGTGAATTCTGTAGAAATCTTGGGAAGCCATGGCTCTTCTCCCTCCCATAACAGGATTCATTCTGGCAGTATAAATCATTTGTTAAGATAACTTCTTCCTGTATGGGCTACTGGATAATTTTTGCCACATGTGGGGCCCTGGTGTGAAAGTATTCACTTAGCCAAACCTTTGTTCTCATAGTCAAATATACATAAAGCTGTCTGCGGGAGAATTGTCTGTATTCTGTCAATCATGTTATAAATAAATGCTGATTGGCCAGGCAGGAAATAGAGGCAGGAAAACCAGACAGGAAGTACAAATGATGTAATGAGAACAGGACAATTCTGGGAAGGAGGAAGTTGATTCCTCCCACTCCTGCCCAGATCACCGAAGCAGCAGGATGTGATCTGCCCCACTGAAAAAAGGTACTGAGCCACATAGCTAACGTAGATAAGAAAAATGGGTTAATCAAGATGTGAGAGTTAGCCAGGGAGAGGCTAGAGCTAATGGGCCAATAAGCATATAATTTATGGAGACTTATGTGTGATTTTTTGGGGGGGCTAAACAGTTGTGGGGTATTGGGCAGGACAAAAACCCCAACAACAAGCAGGCCCCTGTTCATGTTACACTAGTCCCCCACAACTATCCTTATTGCCAGGACTTATTGACAAGAAAGGAGCCCTGAGCAGGGGAGACAGTATGTCTGCTCTTACTGATAAACAGGTCTGGGTGGCCCTGAATTTTCTAACAGCCAACTTAGGAGAGTATAACCTACTGGCCTTTGCTCTACCCTAATTAATATTCTGTACTTACCTTCACCTTTCATGGTCTTAGTCTAGGAAATTAACTGTTTGTACCTTTATCCCTAAGATATACAGGAAAAAAGCTTGGGCCACTAAACCAGACCCAGAGAAAGAAATTCCTTCTCACCTGGGTGTGAGCATACACAGTACCCTGATGCTTAGCCTGGGGAGGCCATCCTCCATCCTAATCCTCCTGGTATCTGCCAGGGAGCTTGACAGTCAGGCCCCTTCTGACACATAAGGCGCCTACCTTGTCAGGCTTTTATCCATCTTGTTAGCCCTAAGAAATGCATGCTTGGTACCACTGTTATCACCTAGGGAATGCTAACTATGTCTGTGTGGGTATATAAACTGGGAACACTGTGGGATGAGAAGAACAGTGAGGAAAATCAAAAGAAAATCACCATTGAGGAGGAACATTGAAAGGCGAACATCAGAGGGAGCACAGAAAGAATGAATAGGACATGATAAAAAACACTTATGTGAGCTAATTTATTTCATTTACCCTCAGACCTTATTAGTCAGGTTTTGCCTGCTATAGCGGATCCTTCTGAATCCTGAGAGGTTTAGTGGGGTTTAACCCCAACATAAACCTTGATAACTCATATCTCCATGTGTACTAACAATAGTGTTTATTTGTTATAAAGCAAAATAGTGAAACCAAAGGGGCTATAAAGCTCCCAATATGTAGTTAGTGCTGTGGAAATAGTCTTTAATGCTTAGTCTCCCTACTGGGGAATTCCTGTTCTCCTTTCAAAAGCCACAGCTCATGCCTGCTGTTGGGGTAGAGGTCCTCTGGCTTCAGCCTGTGGTGGACAGTGCATAGCTTTCATTACTTTCGCAAACCATCATTAATATGGTGCAATAGTGTCTGATAGACTTCTACTGAAAACATTTGGGGGTATCAGAGTTTGCAGCACAAGAACTGGAGCAGCTTGTAGGCCATCAGCAGGCACTGTAATTCCTTATACTTTATTTCCTGTCTTTGAAACCAGAGTAAATCACACCAGTGTGCCACTCCATAGGAGACCTGACTTCTCACTGCTCCTCTCTCTTTTCTCGTTTGAATTTTCTCCTTTCCTTATAATTCAAAAGCTGCCATGCCTTAGTAAATAGTCAAGTTTTTTCAAACACCTTATGTTTATTTTTATCCCATAACCATCTTCTCTCAAAACTATGCCAAAGCACCATTAAAAAAAGAAGCATTTTCCCACGGAGTCTAAGCTCTCTCAACAAGAAGTTGGCACAAATCAGTATAGATATAAAATGCCTGCATTTCTTTTCTTGAGAAACCCATTTCTATTTATGCTAGATAAAGAGGGTAATGAAAACTGTGTACACAATTCTGTATATGTCCAGCTTAGTGAGCAATGAGTCTATGGGGATGCTTACAGAAGCAGAGGTGACTCTCTGGAAGCTGTATCATCCAAACACGGATGACAACTCAGTAATGGTGCACCGCTGTAGTTTCCAATGTAGTGTGCAGACAGCTGTGCCACTATGGAGTCTTCTGCCTTCTCCCTGGCAGTTGTCTGATGCTTGTATGTCCTTGTGTATGGCTGTATGCCAGGAAGTAGCCTAATGTGTCTTGAAAGTTTCATGAGATGCCTGAGTCTTACATGTTTCTTCTATGTATTTTGTGAGTCTACTGAGCCCCTATCTTCCCCTTCTGCCCCAAATAGGGAATGTTTTAATGAAGAGGACACAGCTACATAACAAATGTGCTCCATGATCCTACCTCACTGAGGAACACACTCCTAAGAAGTTGGTCTGCCTAACCTCTTGTCTTGTTTATAGATGCCTGTATGAGTCGCTCTTTCTTTCTCTGCTCCCCTCTCCTCTGGTTCCATCAAAACAGCCAACTTTGAAAACCTCCCACTTTTCTGGGCTTTAGCTAATTCTTTAGTTTTGAGGTGGTAGGCCAGGCTGTTTAGTGTGTTCTTTTTAATGTGTGTTATCAGCCAGCATCTACTTCTGTTCCAACTTTTTCTTTTCCTGAAATTCCTCACTCATCTGGAGAAAGTTTAGAGTCAGAGTCAGCTCCCCTTAGTTGCTTCCTGTGACACATGGCTTCGGTAGTCTCATAGACTATCTCTACCTCATCCATCAGAAAACTCAGCTTGATGTCTGGTGATCGGAAAGAGGCTGCACCCATCACTGCCAAAAGCTCTTATCCTGTTTGCCTTCAGGAAAGCCATCCATCACTGGCCTGGTCCAGAGATGTTTGGCTTAATGCTGTAATTACATCGTGAGTACCTGGACTGGCCCTCCTGCTGGCCTCGGATGCCATTGCTTCACATGAGTGTGACTAATAGCCATCACTGAGGACAGGAGATGATTCATTTCCACTGTCTCCTGGGGCTTCTAAATAAAACATTTAAGCAAAGAATAGACAAGAAGGAAGCCTTCAGACAGTGATGAAATTGGCTTAACTCCCATCTGACATGTTTCCCTTCCAGCTCAAGATCCACACATTAGGAGGAAAGAGATCCCTCACATCCTAACATTTTTGTGGTAAATTACAATGTTCACTATAGTGTGATTGAGGTACTTATTAAGAGGAATGTTATTAAAAAGGTTTTCCCTAAATTCACATAATAACATATTGACTTTTTAAGAGAAACTCTTACTGGTAAACACCAAGTACTGAGTAGCTGAGTAGACAGGAGGTCATGTCGACTCCAGGTATTTATGCACCAAAAACAAATCTCCAGTGTGGTTAATGTAGAATTTCTCTTTGCCCATCACTTCCAGGCATACCAAAATAGCTATCATTTTATTTTTCAGAAGGAAATGCATAAATAGAGTCTGGATATAGAACTGAAAACAGGGAAGTGGAATGAAAATGACCAAGAGAATTTGATGAAGATTCCCAGTGTGTGGTTGAGATCTGCCAGCATCAGCCTTACCTGGATGCTTGTTAGGAATCCCAAATCCAGGTCTCATGTAAGACTTCCTAACTCAGACCTATGCTATCATAAGATCCCAGGTGTTTTCTCTTGAAATGTGAAGAGAACTGGAAGATAGACACCTGAATCCCACATGCAGAAGACTAAATACCCTATCATACACACACACACACACACCTCAGAAAAATGCAGTAGTGGCGTCTTAATCATAAAATATAATTCTTTCCTTTTCTTCCTTAAAATTCAGATCTAATAAAATATTTTTATAAAAGAAAGCATTTGAATGGTTAAGAATGGTTTAAATTTTTTATTAACTAAACTACAACTTAAAAATATTTTACTAAAGGCCGGGCGGTGGTGGCACATGCCTTTAATCCCAGCACTCAGGAGGCAGAGGCAGGCGGATCTCTGTGAGTTCGAGGCCAGCCTGGTCTAGAAGAGCTAGTTCCAGGACAGGAACCACAAGCTACAGAGAAACCCTGTCTCGAAAATAAAAAAAANAGCTAAAGTAAAGGAACCACAAGCAACAGAGAAACCCTCACTCGAAAATAAAAAAAAATACTATGAAAATGTAAAAGAGACAGAAATCTTTAATAAATAAATAAAAAGAAAAAAATAAAGTTAAATAAATTAAAAAAATTAAAAAAAGAAGATCGAAGTTTTTAATTATAGAAATTCAAGGTGAACAGCATGTTTCCTTCCATTCAAGGAGATGGGATTTTGTAATATTATAATACAGTACTGCATTACAATAAATGTAATATTTACACTTCCTTATCCCCCCCCCCCAAAAAAGAAAATGTTGTGGAGTAATCTTTCCATACTCTGTGAAGATGTGTCTTTGCAGAGGCACCTTTGGATTGCTTTAATAAAGAGATATATGGTCAATAGCTAGGCAGGAAGAAGTTAGGTCAGACTTACAGGCAAAGAGTGAGAGAAGACATGCCAGAAGTCATGGAGAGGAAATAGAAGGTGCAAGATGGAAAAAAGGTAAAAGGCCATGAGGTAAAACATTTAAGTTACAAGAGCTAGTGGGAGAAGCCTAAGCTATAGGCCGTGTTTTCATAATTAACAATAAATCTCCATGTATTTTTTTGTGATTGGTGGCCTTAGGAAGAATCCATCTATAAGAAAACATTGTGAGGGAAGCACATATCTTAATTAAGGGAGCCATCTTAGGGTCGGCAAGAGATTTGGTGCTAGAGGGGCTCCCATGTGCCCAGGGCGATGTCCCCAGTTAGTTCCTGGGGCAGCTGAGGTCAGAGAACCTGAAATGACCCTATCCTATAGTCATACTGATGAATAGCTTGCATATCACCATAGAACCTTCAGATGGATGGAGATAGAGACAGAGACCCACACTGGAGCACTGGACTGAGCTCCCAATGTCCCAAGGAGGAGCAGAAGGAGGGAGAATATGAGTAAAGAAGTCAGGACCACGAGGGGTGCACCCACCCACGGAGACAGTGGGGCTGATCTATTGTGAGCTCACCAAGGCCAGCTGGACTGCGACTGAAAAAGCATGGGATAAAACCGGACTCTCTGAATATGGCGGACAATGAGGGCTGCTGAGAAGCCAAGGACAATGCCACTGGGTTTTGATCCTACTTCATGTTCTGGCTTTGTGGGAGCCTAGCCAGTTTGGATGTTCACCTTCCTAGACCAGGATGGAGCGGGGAGGACTTTGGACTTTCCACAGGGCAGGGAACCCTGACTGCCCTTCAGACTAGAGAGGGAGGGGGAGAGGAGTGGGGGGAGGGAGAGAGGAGAAGGAGGAGGAGGGGAAAAGGGAGAGGGGAGGGAAATGGGAGGCGGGGAGGAGGCGGAAATTTTTTTTCAATAAAAAATTATATTAAAAAAAAAAGAAAACATTGTGGGAGTTTCTGTAAATGCCACAGCTGGCAGAGCAATGATTTCTGTGAAGCAAGAAGGAAATCCAGCTCCACACAATTTAGTTAGCTGGTGTTGGTTCAAACTTCAGGACTCTGACCCTGGGTAGTTTTTTGTACACATATTTAAGTACAGTACAATTTGGAAAAAAAAAGTTTTTTGGTATATCATAATCCCCTGTGCACAAAAAAGCATACCTACATCAAAACTCTTTTTAAAGCACTTGTCACTTCTTTCATGAAGATGGTTCTAGAGATGGCTACATATGTACCTTAAGGGCCTAGGAGAGGAGCTCTTGTGGTCTTGGTCATTCAGATAGTACAGAGGTGATTTGGGCTGTTAGCTACTTCCTGTCCTCTTTATGGGGGGCTGGGGGAATCCCCTTCCCATTCAGATAACACAGTGGTCACCTAGACTATTAACCACCTCTGCCCCTGCATCTGGGAGCTAGGTATGGCCTGACTCTACAGATAAGGCTGATCAACAGACTATTAACCACTTCCATTCCTCACCTTATGGGTGGGAAAACAGGTTAAACATCTTTTTCTTTGAAAAGACAACTTTGTGTTTAACATTCCTATTTTCCCAAGACCCATGTGTTCCCAACACAGCACAAGACAGTTATCATGGCCCGTGCTCATAGGCTAAACTGAAGAGGCAAAGACTGGAGATCACCAGAGCAATATGAATGGAAGAGACCCATTTCCTATGCTTACCTTTTCTTCTGTTAAACTCATGTCATCCTCATTCTTTGAGAGTTGGTAACAGCTGTATAGTGTGTATGATGTCAGATATTTATTAACCAGGGTGCTCCATCCACCAGGAAGTGATTGCAGCATTTCTCAAAGTCAATGATAACAGGCTGTAATGTATAGCATTGGAATACAGAGCATAATTAAATTAATTTATTAGAAGTGTTATTCAGGTCATTTTAGATAATGAACATGTGTACGCTAGTGTTTGCAATTCGACATACACACTTTAATGTAATCAAAGCATTATTAGCTCTTGGTAAGGGCTAGACCACATGCAGCATTACCTGGTATAGGATAGGAACAATGTTGATGCCAATGACTATCAATTAGCTCTTTCTCTTCTGGGAACACAAGACACTGAGTGTATAGAATCTCAATTATCTTTAAAGAAGTGCGACAGTGGGGACTCTACTTCAACCAAGAAGTACATCTGGGCTATGCATGTGACTGGATACAGAGAGTCCATTATGGTGGTGATATTTTAACTCCTTAGTACTTTATTTCCGTGTAGCCAGACATATTTTTTAATATTTATTTTTATTATTTTTATTTATGTGCGGGCATATGTGCCTGTGTGAACATATAGCATGTTTATATCATGCCTGTGGAAGTGAAAAGGGCATCGGATCCCCTGGAACTTGAGTCACAGGTTGTTGGGAGTCACCCTGTGTGACTGCGAAGAGTTGAAGTCAGGTCTCCCGAAGAGTAGCAAACATTTTTACTTCTAAGCCATCTCTCCATCTTCAAGGCATGTATTTATAATATCAGCAAAGCTTCAAAAGAAGGCATGCTAAGAAGACACCCCTCGGCTTTCTCTTTGTTCTCTCTTTCCTTTCTCCCTCCTCTTCTTCCTCCTCCTCCTCTTCTACATGGACTCACTAGTAATCCTGACTAGACTCTCATATTAAATTCTAAAAATGTAATAATGCAGGTTTTGAAAGAAAGTATAAAATTGCAGCCTTTTATTTGGCTGGTCTCGGCTGCTAATCTGGCAACAGAGTTGAGCTTTTTCATCACTTTGAAGCTTAGACTTGATGACTGTTAATGTCATTTCTTAAATTTGTGCATCCTGTCATTTAACAGATAGTTTTTGGAGATAAGTTAGGAAACCTAATTGTACCTAAGCTCACAAGAAGCATACCTGTCAGGTTAGCACTCGGCAGCTGAGTTCTCCCAGGACTGCTTAGTTCTCACAGCCCTCAGGCAACTGGGGCTGGCTTTCCATCCCCGGTTTCCTGTGCTGCTTACACTGTCTGCTCTGAAGCAGGAATGTGACAGCTTTAATCTTGGAGACTTTGGAAGATGTCTGTCTCACCTCTGCAGTGACTAATCCTAACGTGTCTCCATGATAGTCTTTCTTGGGGCTCAGTTACAATATACTTAGTGCTATCTGCACCTGTTCTCTGTACCTTTCCAACTTCAACTCTCTCAAATCCTCCAAATGCAAATCAGTCTTCAGATAAGCTGTGTTAACAGTGCCCATTACTCAGTGTATTGCTTTGATCCTATTAGAAACCATTGAAGCCAATTGTGTTTGTCATCTGAATGTAGTCTTCCAAGATCTTGGGTTATGGTTCTTACATTGATAATTTTTCTAGTGTCTTGTTTCATGTTGTGGTTTTTGGATATGAAATGCCTCCTAAAGGGCTCGTGTGATGAACACTTGGCTGTTAGCGGATGAGCTTTGCTCTGGGAGATAATTGGATCCTGGTTGTAATTTCCTTTCACCTTATCAGTGTATTCATTCATTGAACCCATGTGGGAAAGGCCTGGCTGGAGAAAGTAGATCGCCGCCGTGCCTGTGAAGGGTGTGTCTTTCACCACTGGGCCCTCCTTGCTGTTACTGCTTTCCAGCAGCCATGATGAGTGAGTGTCTCTGTTTCCACACATTGTCTGGAAGATGTGGTGCCTTGCCTCCAGCACACAACAATAGCCGGAAAACCGTTGGCTGAAATCCTATGAGAATCATAAGACAAAATGAATATTTTGCCACTTAAGTTGTTCATCTCAGGCATTTAGTCTCAGTAATGAAAATGCCAGCTGACACATTGCATTTGTCTCAGTGGAGGCCCTCTGCTCTGCACACACCAGGATAGCAAGCGTAGGGTGCAGAAGGGCTTTTAAGGAAAAATCCGTAGAGAAGAGGAGCAGAGGCAGCAAATACTCTCAGGCAGGAGCTCTGATGTTTGCTCAGGAGAGTGCAGGATATTCCAGACTGTGACCCAGGCATAAGAGCCCTTGGCAGAAGCTGTGTTGGTATGTTCTTTAGCCTGAGTTACACTGCCTCATGCTAATTCTCACACAGGTCTTGAATGGATCTGTGCAACCCTGGCTAGGTACCTCAGGGAAGGTCTGGGGTGGGCAATGCTTTTCAGCAGGTCTTAGGAGTACATGTTCATGGCTGTCTGGTATGCTGCTTAGTTTTGATGTGTGTCTCCTTTAAGTTCATAATACCTACTAAGTCCTAACCATCCTGGAGAATTTCTCTTTAGAGGTTCAACTTAATTAAATGAGTCATCATTTCAT